AGATGCCGAGAGCTGTGTGGCAATGCCAGTGACAATGGCCACTGTGTCTGTGAGTGCTCCAAGTGGTTTGCTTGTTTGCCTGTCGGTCAGAAGTGCAAGTATCTCACAGCCGAACACGAGAACTCAATTTGTTAATAAAAAATAAATAAACGACTATAATATAGAGATGAGAGAAACTTTTAGCACGGAGAAGATCAGCCATAAAATCTCTAGTATCTTTTAGGACTTCAACTAGATAAGACAAGACTTTATCACAGGTTGTGTAACGTAACTTCTCGAAAACGTGCAAGATAATTCATGGGAAACGATGATATTTGCCTAAATAATTATTACAAAAAAACTAAGTTGAAGTATGTAGACTAACAGATAAATTAGCCATTCATTCTAAAAACTAAAAACTGTAGGTTTGCAGGCAACCAAGCGAGTTATAATTTTTGATTACCATTATTAATATGAATTATTTATTGCCTTGATGACTTTTTAATCATATATTTCAGCCATGTACCTTGGCATAAAAAACAAGGGTTAAGCAGTAAATATTATTAGATAAATATTTTTCTAAACAATTATTTTGTTCCACCTACGTTCGTCCATCTGCAGAGTAAACATAAACTCTGTTAAGTAAATATTTGACTAGCTGTCGTTAAAAACTTTCTTTATTCATCTGTTTTAGTGTTTACTTAGTCAAACGACTATCAAAACAAAACTTTGACTATGTGGTCACGAGATTTCTTAATGGAACAGTTGTCTACTTATAATACTAAGTAAATTAATTTGTAACATTTATTTACCACTCAAACTCAGATACTCTGAACTCAGATAATTATGTTGATAACTGAAGTTTTTTGGGGAAAAACACTTGATGACTAAGTAAGCTGAAAAACAAATATGTCTTAACTGATTTTAATTTACGTATCTAGCAAAAATTGAGGATTAATATTCTATGACTAATCATTAAAATCACGTGATTATTAAAGTCAAGAGTACTCTATGTATAAATAGTAGCTACTTAAGTTCTCGATTTTACGATTATCTCAAGCACTTAAAGGTGATAAAGTAACCACAAAATGTGCTAACTGTTTTTAATTTGCTTATCTAGTGAGCATGGGGGAACATAATTTTTATGACTAATCATAAAAGGCAGTCGATAGGATCACGTGAATTTGAAATCTAGTAAGCAACTCTTTGCATTAATACTTAAGTTCTTGATTTTATGATTATGATACATTTTTAAGATTTTAGCTTAGACAAAAATGCTAAACTGATTGTGGGATCACATAAATATATCAAATTAAATACACTCGTATCAACCGCAAGAGGATCATTTAGCTGGTTTTTAATTAAGGCAATGTCGGGTTTATTATTCTTCGAAGTATTCTTATATTAGTCACAAAAAATGTGACGTGATAGGAAATCTTTCGGGGGAAGAACAAATTTGTTTACCAGGGTAATTTGCCAGCGAAGTTTTTGGAGTTTTTTTGGGGGAAAAAACCAATTTGCTATCAAAATGATAATTACAGGTAATTGCACCAGGAAGCAGACTAATGGGCATAGGTTAACTGATTTTAATTTGAAAATCACATAATTAAATCGAAACTGAAGCACCTAATGGCCGACACTGAAGTGCACACAAAAAAATAACATTGGTATCAATTTTTGTTATTTTCGGCATTGTTTCGAATGTTTGGTTTTGTATTATCAATTAGTTTCGGCACGCGGAATATTTACAATAGTCGATATATACACATATATGTGGCACTTTAAACGCGAAAACACGCAAACGAATGCTGATGGTTGATGGCTGATAACTGTTAGTTCGTAGAGATAGCCGCCACTCAAAGCATCCAGTTGATTGCTTATTGTTATCGGCATTGGGAGTCTGTCTACTGATGACTAACTCCATTATTTCGCCCCCAACACCAATTTTTGTTTTTCAGTTATTTGTTTCAACTAATTGAAACGATGATGATGATGATGAAGTGTCTGTTGGACAAATATATTTAATTTGGCAGACATTTTTGATTACTTTAATTTACTTGCCAGAGCTGAAAGCTAAAGCTGAAGCTGCTAGCTGCGGCTAGCGGCGTTGTCCATTCGTATAACTTGAAATCCAATTTAGATCTGAGAACAAAGAGCAATCAAAATGTGCAGTCAAATGAACTAGTAAAGTATCTTAGATTTGTGCTTTTTTTTTTGCTTTTGTCCATGTTGTCTATCCGCCCCCAAGGCGACCAACAATGCTAAATTGCAAAAGTGATCAATATTTGCTCACTTTAGGCGAACAACAAACCAATGCGCTTTGGCAAATATAAACTCTGAACAATATTCATTCAATGCTGTGCTGTTTTCTGCACAGCTAATCGATGGTTATATTACCAACAATTAGGTGGCAAACAACAAAATGCTCCACAATAGCCACCTCACAGAGGGGCGACTACACTAACTAATCATCTAGAGAAGAAGGTGGAGGATTCATTCCATCCTCTGGAATTTAATTAACTTGGCAACGCGGCGCAAAATTAGCATAAATCATTTAATTAAAGGTAAGTGCTGACGAGTGGCAGGCGAGGCAGAGCTTTTTCCAGCCGAGATTCCATCCTCCAGTTGAGGGTGTTAAAAACGTTGTTGCCGCCTTCTAGCGAAGTCATGTGTTAATTTTTTAATGGCATTTGATAAAAATTTCAAGCTGCCTAGTTGGAAGCGTCGTATTAAATTAATCCCAAAAGCGAAAGTCAGTTAAATTAACAGCTTTGTCATAATTGAATTGCCTAAATGCTGCATTTAAATTGCCATAAAACAATTATGAAATATTTTTTTAAGAAATATTCTGCTCAAAAATTCTGTTTTCCATCAATTAGCCTAGAATGAACTAACAAATGCATAAAGCAGATACAACGATTGCCGATTTCAATGCTGGTTGAGCGCCATTCAAGCAAAAAAATAAACGAAACAGCTGCAAAAATTTAACTAAAAACGCAACAATGTGTTTGAGGGAAATGGTTGTTGTTGCTGTTGCCGGCATCGTTATTGTGGTAAATAAATAAAAACCGCATCAAAACTATTGTAATAAAAACATTTCCATTCGCATTTTCCACAATGAGCGCAATTGCAAATTGATTTGTGTGGTTCGGCAAAAATTTCAGCTCTTTTCGCCTCTCTTTCAACTATTGTTGGCCAGTCCAGCGAAAAAATGCACAAAAATAATAACAAATAATATTGCAAAAAAATAACAATTGAAAACAAAGACAAGTTTCATGAAAACAGCGACATCAAAAAATATTCTGCAATGAATTCGATATTTTCCCAAAGCTTATAAATTTTTGATAACGTTTTCCCTGTTGAATATTTAAACATTAAGCAAACAGAGATTTCATCACTGGGACCATATAAAGCTGATATTGTTTAAATTAACTTATATATTTAATCCGAAACATGCGCGAATTACTGTGTGCAATCAAATGACTTAATATTTGGCCCTGGGTATAGTTTGAGTAAATATTTACAAAGCGGCTTTACAAAAATAAGCTAAGGATCTTAGCGTTTAATACTTTAATTTGCCATAATTTGGTAATTTTCTTTTACACCATTTTTTTGTGAGCAAACTAAATCATATTTGTTATGCATTTTGTTATAAAAAACATTTTGAAAGACACACAAATTTAGTATGCAAGTTAATTTTATTGACACTCAACTTTTATTAAAAATCATTTCCTTCTTTTACACCCTTTTTTGTTACTTATTTTTTGATCGTTAATGAATTTGCAAAGTCAATACAAGTTTTAGGATTTGAGCTCTCAAAGGTTCATATATACATAAATTTTGAAATATAAAAACCGTTTGGCTCAGCGTAAATTTCAATTAGTTAGTCCAAGTAAAGAGAACAAACTTTTTCGCCGTTTTTTTGTGTGTTTGGCTAAACCGAGGAACCTGCAACAGCATCCGCATAAATTTTGCATATTTATAGGCACATAAAAACCCACTCGAAGCCACCCACTCTCAGGAACACCATATATACATACATATACAGGTGGTATATGTATGGACATGGACTTGTTGAAAGGGCGTCGGGAGCACCTTTGGCGATTGCCAGGCAACCTGCCCTTGGTCCTGGTCTTGGTGTGAAAAATGAAACATAAATTAAATCTGCTACACCAAATTCAACCCACAATGCCGAGCTTAGGATACTTAAGCGCGGCCGCCGCTCCTCTCTCTTTTTTTTTCACTTTATGATTTCAGCCAAATGAAAATTTATGAAGCAGATGGCACAACCTGATGCTAAAGCCAAAGTCAAAGCCGAAAAGAAAGCCAGTGCTGCGTTGAGGAGAAAAATATGAACTTGAAATTTTGTGGTCTTGAAGTTCGTTGCTGTTTTCTTGTGGCAAATGAAAATGATGCCTCATTAAATAATCAAGTGGTAGCCATAAATTATACTTTACAACGCTGTAAGCAATACTGAACAGGCCAGCCGTTGATCTGACATACAAGTCATAAATATATATATATTTGGTTTTTAAAAAAAAAACAGTTAACCGCGACTGCAGCTCTCCTTGCCGTGTGCCGCATTAATTCCACTTAAAACTAGTAATTAGTTAGCTAGAACGACGTAGTCACTAGATCTTTCAAACACAAGTGAGTTATGAGCTCGAATTCCTTGCCTAAACACCTCATTTAGATAAGATTCTGCGTATGTCTGGAGCAAAATACTTCCGATTAAGTGCTCTAGGTCGAGGCAACTTCCCACCCACCGAGTAAGGCCATCCCAGCTATCATCACTACTGACGTTAGCTCATTATATGATTTTATTGTCTGGCAAACATTTGTGTCTAGCCCGGTTCCGTTTAACTCGATATATGCATATACATCAGTATACTACCACATCTAGGCACGTTCTGCGGAAAAAAACACCTGGCAAAGTATTTGCTTTGGCATTTACCGATTAAATTGAGATATCTCTCGGTCTTATAAATAAGGGCACAAGGCTAGAGGCTAGATGCATTCCTTGAACGATCATAGGCAAGGACGGTCTTCAGTTTTTTGTTTAATTCAGTGGTCAAGTTGAAACAAGTTTGTTTCCTTCTCTCAACAGTTTTATTTTTTCCTATTTTCACGTGAGTAAAAATTATTTGTATAAAAAAAATATTCACATCGTGTCGTTTAAACAGCTGTCAGTGGTTTTGTGGTTGACCCATTAAAGGTTTCAAGTCTTTTGTTTGCTCAGAGAGCAAAATTTCTAGAAATTTTAATTTTAAAAATTTATTTTTGGCTGACTAGTATGCCTAGGCAATTATTAAGCTCAGTTGCCTTCAAGCTGTGTTCGGAGTATTATATATTAATGTTTAGTGCCATGGAATATGATTACCCTTCAATATTACCATTTGCTGAGTAAGCCAACATATGTGTTAAGCCTTGAAAGTGTTTCTTCATTTTGCGGAAGCTTCAGTGAAATCTGTGCCGTTGGCCTTGCCAGCACTTCAAAGTTTCCAGACAATGTTCCTAATGAGTTCTCAACAACTAGACTAGCAGTGGCAAAAGCATAAACTCTATGCAAATTGATTCACTTTCAAGCAACTTCATTTGAGTTCGTTACGTATGCGGCCAGTTGCCGTCTTAAGGGCCCTGCAGAGATGTAAGCAGGCTAAGTAAGCTGCCTTAGTTATGACAAAGGACAGCATTTCGAGAGCCCCATACAAACACACACACACAGAGATAGAAGATGTTCCACGCACCCACGCCGAATGGCAACACGGGTTGCCTAATAAATGATGTGGAGGCCCCAGGAGCCGTCTTAAGGGAGACCTCTTAGGATCACAGCCAGTGTGAGAAAATATTTTCAAAAAAATATTTCAAAAAATAATTTATAATTTTTCCGCTTTAGGAGTTGGTTTCTCTAGTAATTAACTTCTCAACAAAATAACTTAAATTCCTGCTTATTAATCAACATTTTTCTCAGTGTATCTCACTCAAAGTTAAGATGACAAAATGTTGTAGTTGCTGTAGTTGTTTTAGCTGTTGCTGTCAATCAAGACAAGTAAAATTTTTGCGACATTGTTGCTGGACAAGCTGCTGCCGTGGGAGTATACTTTGTCTTTTTCGTCATTGTTCCGCCTTGGACTCCCCTACTTTGTCCTCCAGTTGGTCATGTAATTGCTGTTACACTTTGGACCAAGTTATTAAGTGATTGTTATTGTTGCTGCTGTCGCTTGTCCCAGCGTTGATGCAACAGCATAATCTAACGATTATGCGGGGAGCTCCCTCTGGCCAAATGTAAATTAACTCGTGTCCAAAAGATCCCGTCGCTGGTGGCTAACATTTTGTGTAGTCTGCTTTTTTGGCCAGGCGATGTGGCAAATTAATTTCGATTTTTGTGAAGAGTTCAGCCATGGAATTGTCCAAAACAATTTGCCCAAATTGCCAATTGCAACATGTGGTATGTGAGTGATACAAACTGTTGCAACTAGGGCCAACTAATTGCCTTTAATTATGAATGGAGGAGAATGAACCTACAAACAGACAAACAAACACCATACATAAAGATAATCGTTGTCCGCTTGTCAGACATGGCGTATGAGTAATGGCTGTCTAGGTAATAATGCATTATCGATTTAAAGTGTCACCCGATAGGAAAAGTGGCATTTGCATTGAAGTGCAGACAATAACTAATTACACCCCATATCTCCCTGCCGTCCAGCTGGAATATTTTCCTGTCAATTAAGCTCGTAAAATGTGGACAGGAATACCGGGCAGAGCAGAGTCCGTCCGATGAGCCGTATTTATCTGCAAATATCGTTTACATGACGTTAATTGCATATTGATAGTGTTTGCTCAATTGTTTGCCCTTGTACATTTTATTTGTTTTGTTTGGTTCGTTCAACGTTGATGCAACCTGGTCTGGTCGGAGTTCCCAGTTAGCCAGCCATCAATCAATCAATCAATCATCCAATACATAGATCAATCAATGCGCAACTGACAAGTTTTGGCTGGCTGTCCACCTAATTCTGCCACTCCAAAGTCCTTTTAAAACTGTTCTGCCCTCCCCCTCAGGAGTTAGCTGCAATTTGGCACTCATGAATATTTATGCGCGATATAATTAAATATGCTAATTACAACTGATTGTACGCACAATCATTTGAAATTATAATTCTCAGCGCAGCGAAGAGAGTTTACTTCTTTGGCCAACAAAAACAGTCAACAGCCAACAGCCAATCCGCCAGGATAACACGCACTGTGAAACTGACAATTTAGCATAAATTCAAATGAAATCAACACAAAAAGGGGGTGTGACTTGGCAACTGTTGCCAGTTGAAATTGCTTTGCAGCGTGCAGAATAAAAAAACAACAAAATTAAGAGCACTGGGGACGATGAAAATTAAATAAATTACATTGTTGCCCAGCATAAAGTTGACGCTGCCAGCTAAACAATTTCTGCAGCTATCTCAGGGCCACCCCAACAAACCCTCCGGCAACATTGTTCTTTAGGATGAGGTCCCTGCAATATCCTCTAACCACCCAATGCACCACCTTAACCCAACTGCAACTGCCATGGCCAGCCGGATGAGCTTTTTTTCTTTGCTCCAACTAAGTGAATTTAAGTTTTAATAACTGACATTGGCCATCAAAGATCGAGCTGCTACAAGCCAGGTTTATCCGAGTTAATTGAAAATCCAAAAAGGCAAACAGCAGGCAAAGGCCATAGCATATTTTAGTTTTCCCCCCTTAATTGCACAAACATAATATTCAGGCTTGTTTTAAGCTTGCTTTTATTTTCCCAAGAAATGGCGCATAAATTTTGGAAAGAAATTAGTTTTCATGTTCTGAATTGGAGAAGAATTTTGGGCATTAAATTAGGTAGCTAATAAAATGCAATTGAAGATAAAGTGCTAATAAATAAGGATATTTAGCAAATTAAACCTTTCCAAGAAGTGAAATATGAATAGTTTCTTCTACACTCTTTTTACATTTTAAACTCAAAGTGTGAACATTTGAAGAATCCCCACTTATCTCCAAAGAAAACGCAAATGGTATTTGTCAAAGGTCATTTGCCTAAACTAAATTCCTGAATTATGCAATGCAATTCCCAAAGTCAACACACACAATCAGTCGGCGATTGAAGGACATATTAAAGCTTGTTCTTACAACATCAATAAATAATTAAAATATGTTTTGCCATATGCACACTCATTACATAAATACTTAATTAACCAGACTGAAGAAGAGCATTATGTCCCCGGCCGGACATAAAGAGCCTCCCCAATGATGGCCGGTCACTTGAACAAATCACCAGCACGTGGCCTATAAAGGAAGGGGTGGCACTTCGCCCTGCTTCCTTTCCTTCCTCTACCTGGCAGAAATAGTTTCCCAGATGGAGATAGCCAAAATGGAGGCGTGGTAGCCATAAATATCCATTTGTGGCATTTCCATGGTGACAAAAATGTAGCCAGTCTAATTTATTATCAACAGCCTTTGTGCAAACAATGAGACCCAAACAAGCTTTTTAATTTCCACAATCTCACAATGGACGAGTTGGTTGGGAGATATGAGCCAGGAGTCACCAGGACACTGGACAGGGCAAGAGCATTTCATTAGTTCAATTAGCTGGACAGGTGCTGGCTGGATGTCAAGTGGCAGCTTTTTAAACGATGATTAGTGGCTTTTCGTTTTCGTTTTGGTTTCAGGACGAAATACAAGACAAATTGTTGTTTGTTTAGCTCCTGTCAGGAGCCACTTGAATGCAAATTTATGTGCCCAAAAGGATTCCCATCTGCTGGTCATTAACATTGGCAGGTCTCAGCTCAGGGATACCTTAACATGTTCCTAGTTTACTTTCTGAACGATGATGGCCTTAGGGGAAATTAAAATTTGTTGCCACATATTCATAGAAAATAAAAAACATTTTCATAAACGGTCAAACGAGAAAACTAATTAAAACTAATGAACTTTACATTATAAAATGTGTTTGCTATATAAAAGAGATAATAAAATCAATTTGTATTCAGAAAGGAAATTAATTACAAAAAATAAATAGTCAATAAATGGTAAAAAAATATTTATCTTGCATATAGAATAATGGACAATTTCAATTTATGTGTTGCTGATATTTATCTTGACGGAATTTGATTTTCATTTTTTATAATTAACATTTTGATTTATACCTAATAGTAAAAAACGCTTGTTTTTAAAGTAGTCTTATAGACAACATCTATCGATGATTTACCACTTTTGTCATTGCATTACATTGTTATGGAAAAGCTCTTTCTGTAAGATACTTTTCATAGCCACAGGTGGTCAGTGGCCACCACAATGAGCTAATGGCCAGGAGTCGGAGGTGTTGGAGAGTTCAACAGAAAAAAGGGCTAACAGACATTGCACCCGGGGACTAACTAACCCAATTATTTGTAAAATGCGAGCACAGAAAAAATAACTGAGAAACCAAAATGAAAAGAAACCGCAAAGCCCATTGTTTTCCCCCACACAGCAGGTGAAACTAGAGACACACAGAGAAGTTTTCCATGGTGGCAAAAGGGATAGGAGCGATGGCACCGGGAAAACTTCGCACAGCACGCGTAATGAAAACTTTGTTAGGGCGTACCGAGAGAGAGAAAGCAGTGAAAAAAAAGAGCAAAAAATATAAAAGGGGGGAAAACAGCTTTTCCTGGCAGTGGCACTCGATGGGTGTCGAGTACTCTGGCTGCTGGACATGAAAGTGGCGACAACGGGAAATTAGTTGTGCACGCTTGCTGCAACTTGCAACGCAAAACCCGAGCATTAGCCGGCTGTCCTAGATGCCCTGCCGCTGGGGGTTGACCACTAAATTGCCGGGATGAAGTCGCCACTACGGCCCCAGTTCCCAGCTCCCGGCTGATGTTGATCAAATTAACAGCATGTGGCGACTGGCAAGTGGCTGATGACCGCCCGACTACCGCTTTAATGCGCTCCCCTTTCCTTCTCCTTGCGCTTTTTGTAGCATACTTTTTAGAGACCAGCAAATTGCTTTAGCTGCGGCCAAGGCTCCAAAAGGAGATGCACAAAGAAAAAATTAGCCATTTGCTTGTAAAGTTTTAATGTGAGTCAGTTTCATTATATTGAAACTATAAATCCAATCTGTTAAATT